ACTCTCGTTCTGTAGTATCGCCAAAAGCCGACACAGATCTGCAGATGTGGGTCCGATCTATGCACTGTCCTTACTCTAAATCCAATAAAGCTGAGCAGCAAAGAACAGAGTCTTTGTATTCTCTTTGACATCACGGCGTCTCCACCCGAAACCCCAACGGAATGGAAAAAATGAGTTTCCACGAGTCTAGTTTTAATGACCAACTTTGAGCCGCTTGGTTTGAGCCACAAACTCTCTGACATAATCAGGCTTATTCTGTACAGACACTTCACATATCTTCAGGCTGACTCGGGTCTTGCTTGTCTGGACTCGGGTCTTGCCGGTCTGGACTCGGGTCTTGCCTGTCTGGACTCGGGACTTGCCTGTCTGGACTCGGGTCTTGCCTGTCTGGACTCGGGTCTTGCCTGTCTGGACTCGGGACTTGCCTGTCTGGACTCGGGTCTTGCCTGTCTGGACTCGGGTCTTGCCTGTCTGGACTCGGGTCTTGCCTGTCTGGACTCGGATCTTGCCTGTCTGGACTCGGGTCTTGCCTGTCTGGACTCGGGTCTTGCCTGTCTGGACTCGGGACTTGCCTGTCTGGACTCGGGTCTTGCCTGTCTGGACTCGGGTCTTGCCTGTCTGGACTCGGGACTTGCCTGTCTGGACTCGGGTCTTGCCTGTCTGGACTCGGGTCTTGCCTGTCTGGACTCGGGTCTTGCCTGTCTGGACTCGGGTCTTGCCTGTCTGGACTCGGATCTTGCCTGTCTGGACTCGGGTCTTGCCTGTCTGGACTCGGGTCTTGCCTGTCTGGACTCGGGTCTTGCCTGTCTGGACTCGGGTCTTGCCTGTCTGGACTCGGGTCTTGCCTGTCTGGACTCGGGACTGGACTCGGGTCTTGCCTGTCTGGACTCAGAACTTGCCTGTCTGGACTTGGGTCTTGCCTGTCTTGACTCGGGTCTTGCCTGTCTGGACTCGGTCTTGCCTGTCTGGACTCGGTCTTGCCTGTCTGGACTCAGAACTTGCCTGTCTGGACTCAGAACTTGCCTGTCTGGACTCGGGTCTTGCCTGTCTGGACTCGGGTCTTGCCTGTCTGGACTCGGGTCTTGCCTGTCTGGACTCGGGTCTTGCCTGTCTGGACTCGGGTCTTGCCTGTCTGGACTCGGGTCTTGCCTGTCTGGACTCGGATCTTGCCTGTCTGGACTCGGGTCTTGCCTGTCTGGACTCGGGTCTTGCCTGTCTGGACTCGGGTCTTGCCTGTCTGGACTCGGATCTTGCCTGTCTGGACTCGGGTCTTGCCTGTCTGGACTCGGGTCTTGCCTGTCTGGACTCGGGTCTTGCCTGTCTGGACTCGGGTCTTGCCTGTCTGGACTCGGGTCTTGCCTGTCTGGACTCGGGACTGGACTCGGGTCTTGCCTGTCTGGACTCAGAACTTGCCTGTCTGGACTTGGGTCTTGCCTGTCTTGACTCGGGTCTTGCCTGTCTGGACTCGGTCTTGCCTGTCTGGACTCGGTCTTGCCTGTCTGGACTCGGTCTTGCCTGTCTGGACTCAGAACTTGCCTGTCTGGACTCAGAACTTGCCTGTCTGGACTCAGAACTTGCCTGTCTGGACTCGGATCTTGCCTGTCTGGACTCGGGTCTTGCCTGTCTGGACTCGGGTCTTGCCTGTCTGGACTCGGGTCTTGCCTGTCTGGACTCGGGTCTTGCCTGTCTGGACTCGGATCTTGCCTGTCTGGACTCGGGTCTTGCCTGTCTGGACTCGGGTCTTGCCTGTCTGGACTCGGGTCTTGCCTGTCTGGACTCGGGACTGGACTCGGGTCTTGCCGGTCTGGACTCAGAACTTGCCTGTCTGGACTCAGAACTTGCCTGTCTGGACTTGGGTCTTGCCTATCTTGACTCGGGTCTTGCCTGTCTGGACTCGGTCTTGCCTGTCTGGACTCAGAACTTGCCTGTCTGGACTCGGGTCTTGCCGGTCTGGACTCGGGTCTTGCCGGTCTGGACTCGGATCTTGCCGGTTCGGATCTTGCCGGTCTGGACTAGGGTCTTGCCGGTCTGGACTCGGTCTTGCCTGTCTTGACTCAGAACTTGCCGGTCTGGACTCGGGTCTTGCCTGTCTGGACTCGGTCTTGCCGGTCTGGACTCGGTCTTGCCGGTCTGGACTCGGTCTTGCCGGTCTGGACTCGGTCTTGCCGGTCTGGACTCGGGTCTTGCCTGTCTGGACTCGGGTCTTACCTGTCTGGACTCGGGTCTTACCTGTCTGGACTCGGTCTTGCCGGTCTGGACTCGGTCTTGCCTGTCTTGACTCAGAACTTGCCGGTCTGGAATCGGGTCTTGCCGTCTGGACTCGGGACTTGCCTGTCTGGACTCGGGACTTGCCGGTCTGGACTCGGATCTTGCCGGTCTGGACTCGGTCTTGCCGGTCTGGACTCGGTCTTGCCTGTCTGGACTCGGTCTTGCCTGTCTGGACTCAGGTCTTGCCTGTCTGGACTCGGGTCTTGCCTGTCTGGACTCGGGTCTTGTCTGTCTGGACTCGGGTCTTGCCTGTCTGGACTCGGGACTTGCCTGTCTGGACTCGGGTCTTGCCGGTCTGGACTCGGGACTTGCCTGTCTGGACTCGGGACTTGCCTGTCTGGACTCAGAACTTGCCTGTCTGGACTCAGAACTTGCCTGTCTTCACTCGGGTCTTGCCGGTCTGGACTCGGGTCTTGCCGGTCTGGACTCGGTCTTGCCTGTCTTGACTCAGAACTTGCCGGTCTGGACTCGGGTCTTGCCGGTCTGGACTCGGGTCTTGCCGGTCTGGACTCGGGTCTTGCCGTCTGGACTCGGGACTTGCCGTCTGGACTCGGGACTTGCCGGTCTGGACTCGGATCTTGCCGGTCTGACTCGGTCTTGCCGGTCTGGACTCGGTCTTGCCTGTCTGGACTCGGTCTTGCCTGTCTGGACTCAGAACTTGCCTGTCTTCACTCGGGTCTTGCCGGTCTGGACTCGGGTCTTGCCGGTCTGGACTCGGTCTTGCCTGTCTTGACTCAGAACTTGCCGGTCTGGACTCGGGTCTTGCCGGTCTGGACTCGGGTCTTGCCGGTCTGGACTCGGGTCTTGCCGTCTGGACTCGGGACTTGCCGTCTGGACTCGGGACTTGCCTGTCTGGACTCGGGACTTGCCGGTCTGGACTCGGATCTTGCCGGTCTGACTCGGTCTTGCCGGTCTGGACTCGGTCTTGCCTGTCTGGACTCGGTCTTGCCTGTCTGGACTCAGGTCTTGCCTGTCTGGACTCGGGTCTTGCCTGTCTGGACTCGGGTCTTGTCTGTCTGGACTCGGGTCTTGTCTGTCTGGACTCGGGTCTTGCCTGTCTGGACTCGGGACTTGCCTGTCTGGACTCGGGACTGTCTTGACTTGGGACTTGCCTGTCTGGACTCAGGACTTGACTTGGGACTGACTTGGGACTTGCCTGTCTGGACTCGGGACTTGCCTGTCTGGACTCAGAACTTGCCTGTCTGGACTCAGAACTTGCCTGTCTGGACTCAGAACTTGCCTGTCTTCACTCGGGTCTTGCCGGTCTGGACTCGGGTCTTGGCGGTCTGGACTCGGTCTTGCCTGTCTTGACTCAGAACTTGCCGGTCTGGACTCGGGTCTTGCCGGTCTGGACTCGGGTCTTGCCGGTCTGGACTCGGGTCTTGCCGGTCTGGACTCGGGTCTTGCCGGTCTGGACTCGGGTCTTGCCGTCTGGACTCGGGACTTGCCTGTCTGGACTCGGGACTTGCCGGTCTGGACTCGGATCTTGCCGGTCTGACTCGGTCTTGCCGGTCTGGACTCGGTCTTGCCTGTCTGGACTCGGTCTTGCCTGTCTGGACTCGGTCTTGCCTGTCTGGACTCAGGTCTTGCCTGTCTGGACTCGGGTCTTGCCTGTCTGGACTCGGGTCTTGTCTGTCTGGACTCGGGTCTTGCCTGTCTGGACTCGGGACTTGCCTGTCTGGACTCGGGTCTTCCCTGTCTGGACTCAGGACTTGCCTGTCTTGACTCAGAACTTGCCGGTCTGGAATCGGGTCTTGCCGGTCTGGACTCGGGTCTTGCCGGTCTGGACTCGGGTCTTGCCGGTCTGGACTCGGGACTTGCCTGTCTGGACTCGGGTCTTGCCTGTCTGGACTCGGGACTTGCCTGTCTGGACTCGGGTCTTGCCTGTCTGGACTCGGGACTTGCCTGTCTGGACTCGGGTCTTGTTGTCTGGACTCGGGTCTTGCCGGTCTGGACTCGGTCTTGCCTGTCTTGACTCAGAACTTGCCGGTCTGGACTCGGGTCTTGCCTGTCTGGACTCGGTCTTGCCGGTCTGGACTCGGTCTTGCCGGTCTGGACTCGGTCTTGCCGGTCTGGACTCGGTCTTGCCTGTCTGGACTCGGGTCTTACCTGTCTGGACTCGGTCTTGCCGGTCTGGACTCGGGTCTTGCCTGTCTGGACTCGGGTCTTGCCTGTCTGGACTCGGTCTTGCCGGTCTGGACTCGGGTCTTGCCGGTCTGGACTCGGTCTTGCCGGTCTGGACTCGGTCTTGCCGGTCTGGACTCGGTCTTGCCGGTCTGGACTCGGGTCTTGCCTGTCTGGACTCGGGTCTTGCCGGTCTGGACTCGGTCTTGCCGGTCTGGACTCGGTCTTGCCGGTCTGGACTCTGTCTTGCCGGTCTGGACTCGGGTCTTGCCGGTCTGGACTCGGTCTTGCCGGTCTGGACTCGGTCTTGCCGGTCTGGACTCGGTCTTGCCGGTCTGGACTCGGTCTTGCCTGTCACACACTCTCTGACAGACTCAAGCTTATACAGTGACTTTAACATGTCTTCAGGCCGACTGCACCACAGCCGCATTACAACACTACACACTCATTTTCACTTCCTCCAACAACAACGTGTCACGCCAACGCCAAAAGAGACATTTACACCCGCTCTACTTAAAAGCATATTCTTAGGCACACTACATCTTTCTTCCGCGATTAAGATAAAAAAAGACAAACTTATTGGACACTAACGGAGCTTATTTCTGACTTCCAGATGAAAATGTCAAAGCAGTGGCACGTTAATCTCGCGCGACAATCAAAAGTTAATCCACAAGACGGGCTAATACTCTCCCACTTTGCTGGAATAATAAATCAGCACAAGAGGAGACTGCTTTTGGATGCACTACTTTCTATGGAAAACTCAGGCTCGAGGGCCAAATCCGGTCCCTGAGACAATCCGAAGTGGCCCCAGAAGTTATTTTATAGCCTATAGCAGTGTCTCCCAAAGTGGGGTCCGCGGCCCCCTGGTGGGCCGCGAGGGTACTGCAGGGGGGCCGCGGGAGGTCATAAAAAAAATAAAAATAAAATATAATTATTTAATGTTAAATTTATAATGTTTTGTTTATAATATTAAAATATTTGTGTTCATTATTTGACTTGAATAATCCACTGTAATCATGTTTGTATTACAATGTTTGTAGCAGAGGCTATTTCCCCAAAATAAAATAACCAGAAGAGCCTATTCTTAATGTTGTCTTCTTGGTTATTATTTTGGGGGGGCCACGCAGACCCGTCAGATTTTTAAGGGGGCCTCGGTGTTACTGAGTTTGGGAATGGCTGGCCTATAGTCTCAAAAAACACTTCCACGCATATACTCTCGGCCACAACCAGCTCATATTGTTTTTTAAATTTGGCCCTGGTCCAAAATGAGTTTGACGTCCCAGTTCTAGACCGTTCTCTTCAACCTACCTCCAGCCAAGTCTTCCATCTGAGAGAAAAGCCATGGCCCCGAGCGAAACTCCTGTAAACCATCCCCGGCATCTGCAACTGTCCGTCTCAGCTCACGACACATCTATGAAGCTACGACGAGGAAGTGACTGTAGCTTGCTTCATTTCTGCTATTTATGTCTTAAGTCGCATACAGACAGCACTTTGTAATAACACTGTGGGTTCTAAGGGTAAGATGAGAAGGTAAATAACCGCAAAAAGAGATGAAAAATATGACGTAAATTGATCAAATTTGGCAAAATGTGTTTTAATTTAAGCACATTTTGACGGGGATTTGCCAATGGGACAAAGCAAAAATGATCTTTTGAAAATATACCAGAAATGTCTACTTTGAAATGAGAAAATCAAGCAACAGATTAAATGGCTTTGTCTCATTGGAGAATATTGTTTTAAGACAGTCACAATTAACTCAAATTAAGATAAAAACCACTCGATTCTAGCAATTATTACCTCATATTTTATCATTTTTTGCAGTGAAAATGATTAGACAAGCATAAAAGGTCAAACTAGTCCTTAAAGGGCAGGTGTGGCTGCAGGTTCCAGTGTGGGCGGGTCCCGGTTCCAAAAGGTTCATGAGCACATGCGCTGATATGCTGCAATCTCACTCCAGGACTGTGGGGGTGTACCTGGAAAGAGAATTACCCAATGCTTTGGTATGGCGTCTTCTTTCCTCTAGAAAACGTATTTACAGGATGGTCCAAAAGTGGCTCTTGGTCCAAAAGTGGCTCTTGGTCCAAAAGTGGCTCTTGGTCCAAAAGTGGCTCTTGGTCCAAAAGTGGTTTTTGGTCCAAAAGTGGTTTTTGGTCCAAAAGTGGTTTTTGGTCCAAAAGTGGTTCTTGGTCCAAAAGTGTTTCTTGGTCCAAAGCTTCATTCCAGATGCTGTCAATGTTGAGGGGAGTATATTTTTTTGATCGAGTCTAGTTTAGTCGCTGTGGACTTTTGAATGCAGTTGTTAAATGAACGGGGCTAGTGCAGCTAACACATGCACAAATGGATTTGAGGAAATGGGTGGAGTCTGCTGTGCTGCTCAGGTTGGAACTAAAACTTGCAGCCACACCTGCCCTTTCCCGTTTGCGGACCAGGTGGACTTACCCCTGGCTATGAGATGTAGAAAGATGACTTCAGGCATTATCATTCCATCACTGGACCGTGTGTCAATGCGTACGGTCGAACCACCAATGAATCATCTCATAGCGTTGCATTTGCGCTCTTCACACAATCCACATTTCCAAGATTCAGCCTCTACTCTGTGCCAGTATCTTTATTTCACAATCCTGTCCTTACAGACTTGTACACACGAGAAACTGCTGCTAAATGTTGCTTTACTCCAGACTGGACTCGGTGCAGTCTGCGTCTGTTTTCAATGCTAACGTCTATGGTGACGCACGAACCATCCTCAGCGGACGGCACAGAACGGCTCTGGTTCAGTAGCGATCGCACGGACTGTTTCAGCTAGAGACGCACGGACTGTTCAGTAGAGACGCGACTGAAGTGAGAGGCACGAACTCGTTCAGTAGAGACGCAACGGACTGTTCATGTAGTAGACCCACGACCCTTTCCCCACCCCCCCGCCCCCCTTTCTTCAGCTAGAGAACGCACGGACTGTGAGCACGCACTGCCTTCAGTGGACGCAGGCGGGACTATGTTCTGTAGAGACGCACGTGACTGGCCTTATTCGACGGCACTGGACTGTTCAGTAGAGACGCACGGACTGTTCCAGTTAGAGACGCACGAACTGTTCAGCCCCTCGTCCCCCCGCCCCCCCGGACTGATGCAGTTAGAGGACGCACGGTACTTGTTCAGTAGAGACGCACTGGACTGTTCGAGTAGAGACGCCCGGAACTGCTACAGGAGAGACGCACGCAGGACTTGCATCAGTAGACACGCCACGGACTGCTTCAGCGAGAGAACGACACGGACTGCTCTAGTAGAGATCGCTACGGGACTGTTCAGTAGAGACGCACGGACCTGTTCAGTAGAGACGCACCCGGACTGTTCAGATTAGGACGCACTGGACTGTTCAGTAGAGACGCACGACGTTCATAAGACGCCGGACCGCTCAGTAAGACGCACGGACAGGTTCAGTAGAGACGCACGGACTGTTCAGTAGAGACGCACGTACTGTTCAGTAGAGACGCACGGACTGTTCAGTAGAGACGCACGGACTGTTCAGTAGAGACGCACGGACTGTTCAGTAGAGACGCACGGACTGTTCAGTAGAGACGCACGGACTGTTCAGTAGAGACGCACGGACTGTTCAGTAGAGACGCACGGACTGTTCAGTAGAGACGCACGGACTGTTCAGTAGAGACGCACGGACTGTTCAGTAGAGACGCACGGACTGTTCAGTAGAGACGCACGGACTGTTCAGTAGAGACGCACGGAGTGGGCGGGAAAGTCAAAGGGGAGGAGCCCACAGGAGATAAACTTTGCTGAACGTTTCCTCGGGATGTTCGTGCAGCAACAAATCAGAGAGCTGCAAAGTGGTCACAGGGACATTAGACTGAGCGAGCAGACTGAACATACTGTAAACAGCCAAAACAGGAGCTACACCAGGACTAAACCAGGACTAAACCAGGACTAAACCAGGACTAAACCAGGACTAAACCAGGGTTGACAATGGGGGACTGTCATATAAAGTCACCTCTGTGAACACATACTGCTGTTATATAGTGTATTCGGCCCCCTTGAACCTTTCAACATTTTGCCACATTTCAGGCTTCAAACATAAAGATATAACATTTTAATTTTTTGTCAGGAATCAACAACAAGTGGGACACAATCGTGAAGTGGAACGAAATTTATTAGATAATTTAAACTTTTTTAACAAATAAAAAACTGAAAAGTGGGGCGTGCAATATTATTGGGCCCCTTTACTTTCAGTGCAGCAAACTCAGTCCAGAAGTTCAGTGAGGATCTTTGAATGATCCAATGTTGTCCTAAATGACTGATGATGATAAATAGAATGCACCTGTGTGTAATCAAGTCTCCGTATAAATGCACCTGCTCTTTGATAGTCTCAGGGTTCTGTTTAAAGCACAGAGAGAACCATGAAGACAAAGGAACACACCAGGCAGGTCCGAGATACTGTTGTGGAGAAGTTTAAAGCCGGATTTGGATACAAAAAGATTTCCCAAGCTTTAAACCTCTCAAGGAGCACTGTGTAGTTATCTGCAATTCATCCAGAGTGATCATGGGCCTCTTGACTGCATCTCTGATCAGTCTTCTCCTTGTTTGAGATGAAAGTTTGGAGGGACAGCCGGGTCTTGGTAGATTTGCAGTGGTCTGATACTCCTTCCATTTCAATATAACTGCTTGCACAGTGCTCCTTGAGATGTTTAAAGCTTGGGAAATCTTTTTGTATCCAAATCCGGCTTTAAACTTCTCCACAACAGTATCTCGGACCTGCCTGGTGTGTTCCTTTGTCTTCATGGTTCTCTCTGTGCTTTAAACAGAACCCTGAGACTATCAAAGAGCAGGTGCATTTATACGGAGACTTGATTACACACAGGCGCATTCTATTTATCATCATCAGTCATTTAGGACAACATTGGATCATTCAAAGATCCTCACTGAACTTCTGGACTGAGTTTGCTGCACTGAAAGTAAAGGGGCCAAATAATATTGCACGCCCCACTTTTCAGTTTTTTATTTGCTAAAAAAGTTAAATGTTTATATCTTTATGTTTGAAGCCTGAAATGTGGCGAAATGTTGAAAGGTTCAAGGGGGCCGAATACTTTCGCAAGGCACTGTATAAAGTCACCGTGAACACATACTGCTGTTATATAAAGTCACCTCCGTGAACACATACTGCTGTTATATAAAGTCACCTCCGTGAACACATACTGCTGTTATATAAAGTCACCTCCGTGAACACATACTGCTGTTATATAAAGTCACCTCCGTGAACACATACTGCTGTTATATAAAGTCACCTCCGTGAACACATACTGCTGTTATATAAAGCCCGTGGAATGTCTCTGAACACAGACACGCTGCAGAGCTGCATTATTGGAGAAGATCTTTACATGAGAAGCCGCTAGCTAAACTCTGTTAGCATCAGAGCCCGCCAGCGACTTCCGCCCCTTCCAGTGCTGGCCAGGACGTTCTGGTGTGAAGACCCCTGCGTCTGAAAACTAGAGAATGCGCGTCTGGTGCGCGAGGCTTCAGCGTTTGAGTGTTTGCGGTCTGAAAACACCTTCAGTCTGTACAAGCGTCACTTCCCTTGTCATTAGCACAAGCACATAGTAATAATAGTGGAAATGGTGAACTAATTTTCTCACCTTTTTGTGTGTATAATGTGTCATATTGCTATAAAACGCTTTCTTACAGAAGTCAAATTTGGATCCATATAATACCTGCACCAATACATCTGAGCAGCCAATGTCCTAGTACCAGCACCATACATTCTCAGAACGACAAATATAAACCAATGCATTCAAAGTAGAAATGATAATAATTGTAAATGCATTGAGCGGACCACGTGACATCAGGACATTCAGTCCCAAGTCCGTGCCCTGCTCCAGGCGTCTGTGGCTTCAAGCTGAGGCCCGAGAGAAAGAGAAGGACTTTATCATTGTGTCAACTTCCTGTTTGGCCTTTGGTATTTCTTTAGGGGAAGCAGAAGTATACGCAACACTGTGCATGGGAAATAAGGCAACGCACTGAACTCATTTTGCAGACGCATTTCTAAATGTCAAAAAAAAAAAAAAGCATCTTTTGTATTTGTTCGCGCCGCTTGGTTTGGATTAAAGTGACTGTGTGGGCAATGATTGAAACATTTCTGATTTCCGGGGAAGCTGAATAATAACCTCACAGTTCCGGGAAGTTATAACTAAATGCAAAAATAGTGTGACATTGGTGAAAATGAAAATGTGACAAAGAGATAGATTGACTGTTTTTATGCCATACCCGGGTCTTTTTGTACATTTTGCTTTTGAGGTAGCTGAAGGTCCGACCGACTTTTGTCAAATTCTTTTCTTCCATATCTGTGCGCAGAGGGCCGGGCTCCTCCTCTGATATGCTGCAAACACATTTATTGTTAGATGTTTTATATACATGATTGATGCACAGGGTGGCTGTGGTTGTTTACCTGTAGGCTAGAGATGCCGAGGTGCAGGAAAAGGGCCGCAAACCTGACCAATGAAAAAGATCAAACAGATGCTTTAGCAAACAGACAGAAGAGCTTTGCATTAATGTCAACAGTGCATACAATGACTTATAATAGAAGAATATTCTAAGGGCGGCACAGTGGCTGAGTGGATAGCACTCTCGCCTCTCAGCAAGAAGGTCCTGGGTTCGAATCCCGGTCGGACCAGGGCCTTTCTGAGTGGAGTTTGCATGTTCTCCCCGTGTCTGCGTAGGTTTCCTCCGGGTACTCCGGTTTCCCCTACCGCTAAAAATATGTAAAATAGTTCTAGCATGTGCCTCCTGTACTGGCCCCGCTCCTATCTCTGTGTGGAGTGAGAGACAAGTGCCCAAAAAAATAACAATTGTAAACCGCTTTGAGACTCAGATCTGCAGTGAAAAGGCGGTATATAAATAATTACTTACTTACTACTTACTTACTAATATAATGGCATGAAGGGAAAGATTTGTGAGGATCCAGAGCTGAAAAGAATGATTTCCAGAATATGCCGCAGCTATTTCAAAGTGTGTGTTTACAATTACAAAACGACGTCTGAATATTCAAGATTTATACAAGATAAGATTATGATTTGAAGAAGATTAATAAGTCCTTCATTAGTCTGATAGTTTAGAGATAACAGAGCAGTAGCAGGGGTTGATCTAACCAAGATGGAGGTCAATACAAACTTTAGCACTTCTCTAGTCTAGCCCCTAATCACAACTCTATGCCTGAACACTAACATTTATTCATCCAAGCTACAAGAGAATGATCAAATATATGTGTATTTCCAGGCAAAGGTAAGTTGTTGTTTGCAGCTACAGTCAAGGGCACAGTGAAACTATTGCCTTTATATCTCACAAATGGGATAAACAAAGGGAAACAGCGGTGGGTCTTTGCAACAAAAACAAGGTTAACATCTATCGCTGGAGACGATTGGATCTTTTCTCTTATTGATTATATGTAAACAGAGATAAAAGAAATTGTAAAAGTGGCCATGAGTTTTCAAAACACCTTATCCGGCGGTTTATGGAATACATGCTCTAGTTTCTATACAGAGTAGCCTGGTCGTACCACACCATGGTACTCATTTCATTTCATACTAAGGTCTGGATTTGCTCTGTGAACAGGTGGGAGGGGCTAACTCCTTTTGCAGATTGAAACGATTGGATCTGAGTTTACTGTGACGTATGTAATGAGCCCGAGTGAGTGAGGCATTTAGCATTTAGCCTAGCTTTAGTATTTAGCCTAGCTTTAGCCATGTCCTTTGCCACTAACGGAGCCCGTGGGGAGTAGAGCCACAACATCTTTGCTTCAATGACATTTACTAAACATTCCTCTTGCTCCGGCTTCAGTTTCTTGATATTTGGATTGAACCAGAACAGATTATTTTACTATCGCATTCTCCGACAAACTACAACCAGCAAATTCAGCACAAACTCTTGACGTCACCGACACCGACCTACAACACCCGCCTCCCCCGCTCTCTGATTGGTCGGAGGAGATTCAACCGAGGAAACTGCAGCCACTAGGATCAGACCCAGACATACATGTAGGAGATGATCATGGACCAGAGTTTACACATGGTAAGACCAGACGTACATGTAGGAAATGACCATGGACCAGAGTTTACACATGGTAAGACCAGACGTACATGTAGGAAATGACCATGGACCAGAGTTTACACATGGTAAGACCAGACGTACATGTAGGAAATGATCATGGACCAGAGTTTACACATGGTAAGACCAGACGTACATGTAGGAGATGATCATGGACCAGAGTTTACACATGGTAAGACCAGACGTACATGTAGGAAATGACCATGGACCAGAGTTTACACATGGTAAGACCAGACGTACATGTAGGAAATGATCATGGACCAGAGTTTACACATGGTAAGACCAGACGTACATGTAGGAGATGACCATGGACCAGAGTTTACACATGGTAAGACCAGACGTACATGTAGGAAATAATCATGGACCAGAGTTTACACATGGTAAGACCAGACGTACATGTAGGAAATGACCATGGACCAGAGTTTACACATGGTAAGACCAGACGTACATGTAGGAAATGATCATGGACCAGAGTTTACACATGGTAAGACCAGACGTACATGTAGGAAATAATCATGGACCAGAGTTTACACATGGTAAGACCAGACGTACATGTAGGAGATGACCATGGACCAGAGTTTACACATGGTAAGACCAGACGTACATGTAGGAAATGATCATGGACCAGAGTTTACACATGGTAAGACCAGACGTACATGTAGGAAATGATCATGGACCAGAGTTTACACATGGTAAGACCAGACGTACATGTAGGAAATGACCATGGACCAGAGTTTACACATGGTAAAACCAGACGTACATGTAGGAAATGATCATGGACCAGAGTTTACACATGGTAAGACCAGACGTACATGTAGGAAATGATCATGGACCAGAGTTTACACATGGTAAGACCAGACGTACATGTAGGAAATGACCATGGACCAGAGCTTACACATGGTAAGACCAGACGTACATGTAGGAAATGACCATGGACCAGAGTTTACACATGGTAAGACCAGGTTAAATACAGAGTGTGGTGTTATAAATGTAAGCCAATGTTGTGATTGGTTTGATATTCCGCCGTATAAGGCAGATTTTTATGCACATGAAATGGCTTCTTGAGGAAATTGTGGGTGATAGACACAAAACAACGGTTCTGGGTCAAGGACTGGGAATGCTCAAGTCTAGAGTACGGCGTCTGTTTTTATTCATGAAATCCACAAACACATGGGGCTCTAAAAGCTTGCCGAGTATTCCCTACATGCATTGAATACTTACTGGTGCCATCTTCATCCTCACTAGATGAAGATTCCATATATAATAGCTGAGACTTAGACTTTGTGAGGATGGGGGAAAGGTTGAAAGAGAACGAGATCCGTCTCTTACGTCTCAGGCGCCCCACTGCTGGCAGCAACAGCGAGGAAACAACACAAATCTTTCAGTGCAAAGCTAAGTTCCTGGTTTTCAAAGAAGCGAAAGGAAGACTCTACTGTAGCTGGCTGTTGTTGGGGGTTAGAAAGCCTCAGTTTTAGGGCTAACATAATGGATGAAACCTACCGTCGAGGTCTCTGTGGCTGATGGCGAGCATGGAGACGGACTTGGTGAGTGGGAGAGTCATGGGAGGGCAGCTGTTTCTCATTGGACGATACCGCTGTGACTTCTGCGAGACAAGAGACATGGTGAACCCGAGACACCTGCATTTGATACACTCAGTGACAAAAAGCAAGACATGGGACATGAAGTAGCAGCAGGTCTTACATCGCTCACTCCCAAAGAACAAATGTTTTACCACAAACGGGTGTGTAATGTTTCTGTAGGACTAGTTATGGGTGAAAAAAGGCCTACTTTTGTCACCCGTAAGTGGTTAAGTGTCTTGCTCAAGGGCAGGGGGATCAGTTAGGGAGTGGTGTATTGTGAAGTGCACCCCCCAACCCAGAAATGGATAAATAAAGTGATGAAAAATGAAATGAAATGACATTAAACTAGCTCATGACCTTTCATGTCATTCACAGCGTTTTCATTAAAACAGTTTAAAGGTAAAGAATACATCGTCAATTACATAAAAACACTGTAAAACATTTGAGTTCAGATGTTTATATTTCATGATTAAGAACATTTTATCCATATGTTTAGTTTTGTTAGATCTGCTAGTATGCCTTGGACTCTCGATCGACTGGTAATGCCTGAGCATTAATGTTTGCAGGAAAATGTTTTAGGATGTTTATAAATGATATATGTACTTTTAACATGTACTTGAGCTGTGTTTTAGAAGCTAGTGATTGTTTGTGTGCGTTTGACCACGTTAAGTATTGTACTTCAGTAATCTGCCATTTCCGTTGTGTTGAAAGGTGTGAAAATGTAAACGCTGTTATTCTTGACTCGATTACACTAAAGTGACACATGTTCCCAGGTGCAACACTTACTTGTTTGTCCAGTCTCCGCAGCTGCACCCTCTCGGTCGGATCCTCAGTCAGAGACATCAGCGAGCCCCGTTCATCGTGAGGCCTCTCTGAAGGTTCCAGGATCTGGGGGCTCGGGCAGGAAGACCCTCTGAGCTCCTCTTGGACTCCGCTGAGCCCCTCCAGGCTGTAGCTGCACGACACAGTGACCCAGGTTAGAAGGAGCAACATGGACTGAGTCACATCCATCAGCAGAGAAGCCACAGCACAGACCCACACTGTGCCTCTGTGCACATTTAGCCGGCTGAGTTATCACAGGGCTGCTTTGCAGATTTACAGCTGAGCTGGAGCAAATAACTTCCAACATCAGCATCAGCATAGAGCCCTACATTTGTGATTTACAAACCCAATTACATCGATCTATGGCTGGGAATAAGAGGCCTTAAAAAATCCAATGCAATGATTATGGAGAGGAAAACTACAGCTACATTTCAGAATGAGCTATGCTACGTGACTGCAGCCCCATCCGCTCCCGGACAGCCTGGATGATAGTTAAAGCTGAAGCCATATATCTCGCTTATCTCCAGCCCTTGGCTTTGTATAGCACTCTATTATCCGGCAAATCATCAGTCCAATGCATTCCAGCATCAGTAACCCAGACCCCAGTGAGAGAACCATGAGGTACTGACTATCACTGACCCATCCCCAGGGCTCAGAGTGTGATGGCTGTATCTGTCATGGAGAGACCTGTTATTACATCTTATTCTAGCCTAGGGTCCACACACACATGAATAACATCCTGAAGAGCTGCTGACTGCACACACATCAGAAAGCACACAGGAAACCTGTAAATACTCCCATTTGAAAGTAGGCCATGTGCGAGAGGAAACACAAAACACAATCACACAAACACATAGTACCTGAGGGGACTGACTCATTTCACAGAGCACCACAGGGGCCATGACAGAGGGAGTTTGACAAGTGCAGATGGGGAAGAGCCAAAGGGTGAAGCAGAGGTAGAAGAACAAACATTATAGTCACCACTTTCCGAGCCGTGATGCTTTAACATCTATAAGTAGATTCAGATCCTCCTGAATCATAAATAAGTGTTAAGTCACGTGTGCTTGTAAACCATGGATCTATGATTATAACTGGATAGGGTGTTACAGCTTGGAGCTGAAGAACCATGTGCTCGGGGGATTCTCGCAGTACTGCAGACTGAACCAGACTAAACCAGACTAAATTCACGTGGGCTACACAGACATTTTCCCCATAGAACTCAATGTAAACTAAAACAGTGCGACCTCAGCTGACAGAGAACCTGACAGAGAACCTGACAGAGAACCTGACAGAGAACCTGACAGAGAACCTGACAGAGAACCTGACAGAGAACCTGACAGAGAACCTGACAGAGAACCTGACAGAGAACCTACAGAGAACCTGACAGAGAACCTGACAGAGAACCTGACAGAGAACCTGACAGAGAACCTGACAGAGAACCTACAGAGAACCTGACAGAGAACCTGACAGAGAACCTGACAGAGAACCTACAGAGAACCTGACAGAGAACCTGACAGAGAACCTGACAGAGAACCTACAGAGAACCTACAGCTTTCATAAAGGTCAGATGTTGTGGGGATTTTAGTGTCCCTTGTCATCCTGAACTTTTTTTCTTCTTAAATCCTTCGGTTTTCTTTAAATCCACACTTTAGTGCCACACACTCTGCCCGTCTGGCTCTGGCTCTAACTCCCGCTCTGATGAACTGCTCTGATTGGTCGGAGCGCGGCCGAGCCCCTCTGTGCACGTGCGTGAGACCCACACACGGCGGGAGGACCAGACCACGGCAAATACAGCCGAGTTTCCCAGAGATCTTTGCGAGTTCCAGGCAGAGTTCCGCTAATATGTCAGCGACCGTGCCGTACAGACACACACCCACACCCACAGACACACACCCGCAGACACACACCCGCAGACACACACCCACAGACACACCCACAGACACACACCCACAGACACACACCCGCAGACACACACCCACAGACACACACCCGCAGACACACACCCGCAGACACACACCCACAGACACACCCACAGACACACACCCACAGACACACACCCGCAGACACACACCCACAGACACACACCCACAGACACACACCCATACAGGACTCATACACCCACAGACACACACCCACAGACACACACCCAAAGACACACACCCACAGACACACACCCGCAGACACACACCCACAGACACACACCCACAGACACACACCCATACAGGACTCATACACCCACAGACACACACCCACAGACATACACCCACAGACACACACCCACAGACACACACCCAAAGACATACACCCACAGACACACACCCATACAGGACTCATACACCCACAGACACCCACAGACACACACCCATACAGGACTCATACACCCACAGACACACACCCACAGACACACAGACACACACCCACATGATGGATTGTGTGTGCACTGTGCTGCATTAGGATCTGAAGCTATGATGATATTGTTTTTGTGTCTGGGTGAGAAACAAACCTGAACCCGATGGAAAGATAGACCCAGAACCTGAACAACCAACAGCCTCCTGCGGTCAGGGCAGGAGGCTGTCCACTCACACACTCATCCACACACACCCACAGACACACACCCACAGACACACACCCTGCGGTCAGGGCAGGAGGCTGTCCACTCACACACTCATCCACACACACCCCTCTCAATAACCATCAGGATTATCAATGCAAAGACTTTCAATGTGAATGAACATTGAAGCCCACATGGTTGTGGCCCACTACCTGGTTTTTGTGTGTGTTTTTGTGTTTTGTCATGAGCTGTGACCCATGGTTGGGAACCATTCTGGACATTTAAATAGAACACACTGCTGCTGCTATTGTTGTGTTGTGTGACCTGTTGATCTGCAGAACTGTATATACAGTAAAGAGCAAAAGTGTGGACACCCTCTCTCCTTCACTGAGGTCTTTTCATGACTATTGCTGTAGACCTGCACCAGGCTGTGTAAGGGCTGTTTGACCAAGGAGAGAGATGGTGCTGGGCCACATGACCTCCACAGTCACCGGACCTGAACCCAGTCCAGATGGTTTTGGACCTGAACCCAGTCCAGATGGACCACAGAGTGAAGGGCATCATGGGAACTCCTTCAAGACTGTTGAGGACCATTTCAGGTCCTCTTGAAGTTCATCCAGAGAATGCAAAGAGTGAAGCAGTATCAGAGCAAAAGGAGCTACTTTGAAGAACCAGAATATAACACATATTTTCACTTGGTTCATTCATAGTTTTGATGCCTTCAGTGTCAATCTACAATTTTGATAGTCGTGAAGATAAAAAACTCTTTGAATGCGAAGGTGTGTCCAAACTTTTGGCCTGTACTGTATGTGCACTAAATGTTGTTTGTCTTGTTTGTTCACTGTAAAAACATGGCACTCATGGGTAAACCTTCTGTCTCTTCTGTATAATATGACTTTCCTCACACCTCCCAGAGAGCCGTATCTACTCTGCTGATCATTTTTATACTATATTATCACCGGCATAACTCATATATGCTACATGAACATTAGCATTAGCAGGATCCAGGCGGGCCTCACCTGCGGTTCATTTCCACGTCTCCAGTGCAGTTCTTTCCCGGCCCCCAGCTGTGGCGCCGGAGGGGGGAGATGGAGCGAGGGCAGGAGCGGCGTGGAACCTCCGTCACTCTGTCCTTGGCCTCCTCCTCAGCATCACCTGCAGCACTGTCGGGGGTGTCGGGCCCAGCTTTGACCCCCTCCTCTGGGTTCCAGTGGCAGCCCAGGCCAAGGCTCTCCTCGGGGCTGGAGCTGGACGGGCCGAGGCTGGTGCTGTCGTCCGTGGAGGAGCAGGACACTGACAACTCACTGGTGCTGTCTGCTCCGGTCAGAGGCTCATCCATCTGCACCCACACAGACATACACTGTAAAACCATCTGCACTCACACAGACATACACTGTAAAACCATCTGCACTCACACAGACATACACTGTAAAACCATCTGCACTCACACAGACATACACTGTAAAACCATCTGCACCCACACAGACATACACTGTAAAACCATCTGCACTCACACAGACATACACTGTAAAACCATCTGCACCCACACAGACATACACTGTAAAACCATCTGCACTCACACAGACATACACTGTAAAACCATCCACACAGACATACACTGTAAAACCATCCACACAGACATACACTGTAAAACCATCCACACAGACATACACTGTAAAACCATCTGCACTCACACAGACATACACTGTAAAACCATCTGCACTCACACAGACATACACTGTAAAACCATCCACACAGACATACACTGTAAAACCATCTGCACTCACACAGACATACACTGTAAAACCATCCACACAGACATACACTGTAAAACCATCTGCACTCACACAGACATACACTGTAAAACCATCCACACAGACATACACTGTAAAACCATCTGCACTCACACAGACATACACTGTAAAACCATCTGCACTCACACATACATACACTGTAAAACCATCGGCACTCACACAGACATACACTGTAAAACCATCCACACAGACATACACTGTAAAACCATCTGCACTCACACAGACATACACTGTAAAACCATCCACACAGACATACACTGTAAAACCATCTGCACTCACACAGACATACACTGTAAAACCATCTGCACTCACACAGACATACACTGTAAAACCATCCACACAGACATACACTGTAAAACCATCCACACAGACATACACTGTAAAACCATCTGCACTCGCACAGACATACACTGTAAAACCATCTGCACTCACACAGACATACACTGTAAAACCATCCACACAGACATACACTGTAAAACCATCCACACAGACATACACTGTAAAACCATCTGCACTCACACAGACATACACTGTAAAACCATCCACACAGACATACACTGTAAAACCATCTGCACTCACACAGACATACACTGTAAAACCATCCACACAGACATACACTGTAAAACCATCCACACAGACATACACTGTAAAACCATCTGCACTCGCACAGACATACACTGTAAAACCATCTGCACTCACACAGACATACACTGTAAAACCATCCACACAGACATACACTGTAAAACCATCTGCACTCACACAGACATACACTGTAAAACCATCCACACAGACATACACTGTAAAACCATCCACACAGACATACACTGTAAAACCATCCACACAGACATACACTGTAAAACCATCTGCACTCACACAGACATACACTGTAAAACCATCTGCACTCACACAGACATACACTGTAAAACCATCTGCACTCACACAGACATACACTGTAAAACCATCCACACAGACATACACTGTAAAACCATCTGCACTCACACAGACATACACTGTAAAACCATCCACACAGACATACACTGTAAAACCATCTGCACTCACACAGACATACACTGTAAAACCATCCACACAGACATACACTGTAAAACCATCTGCACTCACACAGACATACACTGTAAAACCATCTGCACTCACACATACATACACTGTAAAACCATCGGCACTCACACAGACATACACTGTAAAACCATCCACACAGACATACACTGTAAAACCATCTGCACTCACACAGACATACACTGTAAAACCATCCACACAGACATACACTGTAAAACCATCTGCACTCACACAGACATACACTGTAAAACCATCCACACAGACATACACTGTAAAACCATCTGCACTCGCACAGACATACACTGTAAAACCATCTGCACTCACACATACATACACTGTAAAACCATCGGCACTCACACAGACATACACTGTAAAACCATCTGCACTCACACAGACATACACTGTAAAACCATCTGCACTCACACAGACATACACTGTAAAACCATCTGCACTCACACAGACATACACTGTAAAACCATCTGCACTCACACAGACATACACTGTAAAACCATCTGCACTCACACAGACATACACTGTAAAACTTCTGCACTCACACAAACTAGCGATTTATTCACTAAAAATAACTAAATGATGTTTATTTTTTATGGTAAGTTTTTGTTGCTTGAATGTAGTTTGTCATAAGATTATTTGACTAGTTTAAAGATAATAATACTTCATAATCCTAGTTTAAAAAAAAGTCTGAGCAATTTTTAAGCTTGTTTTAAGTATTTTTTCTTTTCCAGACTTTTCTTGATAAGATAAAATAAGTTTGTGATGCTGTATTTAAAGGAGAAATAAGTAAATAATACTTGAAATGTATGTTTTTAAACTAGAATCAACTCATTTGGGGCCAGTGCTATTTTATTAGTCATATTTTCTGGTTTTATTTTCAGATCACTTTTATTATTTCAAGCCGTATTTTACTTATTTTCATATATAATTTTCAATAGATTTTTTCCAGTGCAGTTATCTAGTATAAACGTTGTAATTTCAAGTCAGGGAGTAGTTAGAAATGGCAACATGGTGATAATATGCTTTCCATCACAGGGCGATCTGTGAGGAGTTGGTTTATGGCCTGGCCTTTTGGCAAATCACTCCTGCATGTGCGACGTATGCTCACACACTGAAGATAATCCATTTAAAGCCCATTTGTAAAGTAAAACACATTGAACTGGCCCCAGTGTGGAAGCAGCTGCAAGAACACGGACAAGCTGAGAAGAAGGGAATACAAACTCAGTAAGCCTAGACTACATCATTTCCAAAAGGTAGACAGAGCATCTTCTCAAGGCACACTAACGTACCACGGCCCACTGGTTGAAAAACTCTGCTCTACATGTCTCTCCCTTATCATTATTAAAACACTTCTAGTTTATTATACAATTGAAAAGGAAGAAAACTAGCTTCAAATGGCGGTAGCAAAGGGACAAACATGCACATTTACAGCAGTCTGCAGCCAGTGGAGAAAATGGCACTTTGATACAGCCCTTTCAGCCTCAGGAAGCAGACAAATATAAAAGTTTGACTGACAAAACTGTGATTGCAAATACAGTGCATAATCCCAAAAGACTGTAAAACTATTTTCTCGCTTCAAATTGTAGATTTATGGACGGCAGGCAGAAAAGTATTGGAGTATGTTGGAAAATCAGTCTCAGAGATGACTTTTTTATTGACTTTTCTGCTATTCTGCTTGTTTATTATTAAAAAGTAGTGCCTTGATAGTTCTGGGTCTGACACAGAGAGAAGCTGAAGGACAGAAACCAACACTGTCGGTCACTCGGGGCTAAACACATGTCTGTGGATGCTTAAGTGCTCAGCAGGGCGTCATCTGACCCGTTTGAAGAGGCCGTCACATCCGGGCTCCGCTGTCAAAAAGCTTTCCAAGTCGTGGGCCGAGTTTCTGTGATATGTGGACGGGCAGCTGCTGACGCTGTCGGACCGGGACGGTAACACGAAGGACTGGACGGACTCTGAAAGAAGGAACACACACAATCGGAGGTTTAATACAATACAACATCCTTAACTCATGCCAGAAAGTGTAATAACCGGTCACTGTCACTGTGTCCCAGGGCCTCATGCTAACGCTAATGTACAGATGCTAACGCTAATGTACAGATGCTAACATGTAAAGATGCTAACATGTAAAGATGTATACCAAGCCCCAGTGATGCAAGATGGCGTCCTATTCAAATGAATGGCTTGTGCGACATACACGGGGACCGAGGCATTAGCTGAACTCGCCCATATTTGGGCATTGTCCAGTACTCCCGGTTCTGTGCAGTGGACGAGCTCCCATGATGCTTTGCGCCAAATACGCATGTGTGGCTCTCATGCACGTGCACAGAGGGGCTCGGCCATGCTCTGACCAATCAGAGCTGCTGATCAGAGAGTTTGTGGGATTTAAAGAAAACAGAAGAAAAACATTTTTCTGGATAGCCCACGTGAATTTAGTCTGCAGTACCACAGCGCCCCCTGTGGCCATGGGTGGGACAGCTATAAGCTAGTAATACCCTATCCAGTTATTATTATAGATCCATGAGGTAAACATACTGCTGCTAACATATATAGATGTTAACATATACAGATGCTAACATGTACAGATGCTAACATACTGCTGCTAACATGTACAGATGCTAACATATAACTAAACATTGCTTATACAGTACTTTATACTTGCCTCTTATTTTGCTAAAGTTAGAGATGTTATACTTGTTTCTTTGAGGCTAGAGATTTTATTTGATTTTAATCAGTTTCGAGTTATTGTCCATTTATCTTATGCTGTGTGCTCCTCATTCCTACTGTTATATACCTTGTGATGCAACACTGAAATGTCCCCCCATGTGGCTCAAATAAAGAATCTCTTCATCCTCATCTTAACACAATAGAAACACAGCAGGCGCCGAGTCGGTTTCAGTCTCTGTGTGTTTAAAGACAGATCTGTTTGGAGCAGGGGCTGATGGGAAATGACATGTGAGAACGTGTGAAGGCAGATCAATGAAGGACTGTCCTGACCAGGGCTGTTACCGAGGGGGGGGGGGGGGGGGGGGGGGGGGGGGGGGGGGCTGTTACCGAGGGGGGGGGGGGGGGGGGGTAAACAATGGATGCTTGTGTGGCTTTGCTTGTGTTGTGATGATGCACTCTGGGGCCAATTAGAGGTGACATTTCCTGCTTTTCTTTGATTTGGTTTTTGGTCTAAACTAAACATTCACAAACACAAGTGACTGTAGCGGCTTTTAATATGTTCTAAAGTCACGTGTGTAAAAAGTGTAGGATCAACACAATACAACGGGAAGTATAAAGTATTTTCTACCAGGTTGATGTGTGGTAGTGGTTAGTTGGTTTTTATAATTGTGATGTGTGTATCTATGTGTGTGTTCATCTGCTATTGTGTGTAAGTGTGTTCACCAGCCCTGGTGTGTATCTATGTGTGTGTTCTTGCCCTGTGGTGTATCTTTGTGAGTTCTCCTGCCCTGATGTGTATCTATGTGTGTATCTTTGTGTGTTCATCTGCCATCGTGTACATCTGTGTGTGTATCTGTGTGTGTGTATCTTTGTGTGTTCATCTGCCATCGTGTACATCTGTGTGTGTATCTGTGTGTGTATCTATGTTTGTATCTATGTGTGTATCTTTGTGTGTTCATCTGCCATTGTGTACATCTGTGTGTGTATCTGTGTGTGTATCTGTGTGTGTATCTATGTGTGTATCTATGTGTGTATCTTTGTGTGTTCATCTGCCATTGTGTACATCTGTGTGTGTATCTGTGTGTGTATCTATGTGTGTATCTTTATGTGTTCATCTGTGTGTGTATCTGTGTGTGTATCTGTGTGTGTATCTATGTGTGTATCTATGTGTGTTCACCTGGGATCTCAGATGTAAAGTAGCTGTAGCTAAATCTGTTGCTAACCAGAAAAGCTAATAGTTGTGTACCTTGTACCTGTTCTTTACACAATAAACTACACTAAAAACACACTAACTAACTACACAATCAAAGCCTAAATAGACACACAACACATTCTTGTGTTGCTGAAAACATTCCAGGCCCGGCTGGACTCTGCAGCAGAACAAACTCTGTGACATCATCGACCAAACTTGTTATTATGCTTCTGCTCAGAGTCTATTTTCACCAAAAAGAGGAAGTCTGTGTTTTTCCCCAAAGACCATTTTCAGTGATTATGTCGACGAGAGGAAGTGTTGTGTCAATAACCTATATAACCTACATATATCTGACCTTTATAACCTACATATATCTGACCTATATAACCTACATATATCTGACCTATATAACCTACATATATCTGACCTATATAACCTACATATATCTGACCTTTATAACCTACATATATCTGACCTATATAACCTACATATATCTGACCTATATAACCTACATATATCTGACCTTTATAACCTACATATATCTGACCTTTATAACCTACATATATCTGACCTATATAACCTACATATATCTGACCTATATAACCTACATATATCTGACCTATATAACCTACATATATCTGACCTTTATAACCTACATATATCTGACCTATATAACCTACATATATCTGACCTTTATAACCTACATATATCTGACCTTTATAACCTACATATATCTGACCTATATAACCTACATATATCTGACCTATATAACCTACATATATCTGACCTATATAACCTACATATATCTGACCTATATAACCTACATATATCCTGACCTATATAACCTACATATATCTGACCTATATAACCTACATATATCTGACCTATATAACCTACATATATCTGACCTATATAACCTACATATATCTGACCTATATAACCTACATATATCTGACCTATATAACCTACATATATCTGACCTATATAACCTACATATATCTGACCTTTATAACCTACATATATCTGACCTATATAACCTACATATATCTGACCTATATAACCTACATATATCTGACCTTTATAACCTACATATATCTGACCTATATAACCTACATATATCTGACCTATATAACCTACATATATCTGACCTATATAACCTACATATATCTGACCTATTTAACCTACATATATCTGACCTTTATAACCTACATATATCTGACCTTTATAACCTACATATATCTGACCTATATATATATATATAACTTAAGTATATCTACAACTTTAATAAGAAAGGAGACAGTGGGGATGTGTTAGCACCGGCTTGTTCTAAACTTTGTGCTCCTCTGCTGCTAACAGAAAGACTCTGACGCTGCTCGGAGCAGAAGGGCATGAGTTCTAACTCAAAGAGGTCAAATAGAACACGACTTAGACACGACTTAGACATGGTTTAGTCATGACTTATGGTGCTTTCAGACCTGATCATGCTGCGTCGGGTTTCAATGCAAAGTCTACGGTGGCGCGCGTTCGAGCGTCACAACGCACGGACCTCTCGGTTCGCACAAACGGACTGTTCAATAATGACGCACAGACTTGGCGGGAAAGTGAAAAGGGAGGAGCAGGAGCGAAAAATCAACGCCCACAGGAGATGGATTCTGCTCATCCTTTCCTCGGGACGTTCGTGCGACAACCAATCAGAGAGCAGCAAAGTGGTCACGGGGACATTAGCGGACTGAGCGAGCAGACTGAAAATACTCATAAACAGCCAAAACAGGACCCACACCAGGCTTCACCAGAACTCAAACCAGGGCTGACAATGGGGGACTCTGTGCTTGTGAAAATATGCGTTGTCATGCTCCCGTGACCTTATGCAACTGCTTCGAGTGTGTTCGCCGATGCGGAAATTCCGTTTAATAATATAAAAAACGTATGGCGCACCTCCGTGAACACATACTACTGTTATATAAAGCCTGTGGAAGGTCTCTGTTCAAAGACACGCTGCAAAGCTGCTTATTGGAGAAGATCTGTGCACAAGAAGCCGCTAGCATAGCTCTGTTAGCATTAGAGCCGGCTACTTCCGGTACTTCCGGCTCGCGTCAGGACGTTCTGGTGTGAAGTCCTCTGCGTCTGAAAACTAGAGAATGCACGTCTGGTGAGCGGGGCTTCAGCGATGGCGGTCTGAATGCACCATTAGACACAACTGACTTAGACATGACTTAGACATGATTTAGACATGACTTAGACATGACTTACACATGACTTACACATGACTTAGACATGACTTAGACATGACTTAGACATGACTTACACATGACTTAGACATGACTTAGACATGACTTAGACATGACTTACACATGACTTACACATGACTTACACATGACTTACACATGACTTAGACATGACTTAGACATGACTTAGACATGACTTACACATGACTTACACATGACTTACACATGACTTAGACATGACTTAGACATGACTTAGACATGACTTAGACATGACTCAGGAAGTGACGACCAGAGACAGGACCAGGACACACAGACGGGACAAACTCAGCTCAAAACGATAGATAAGATAGATAGATAGATAGATAGATAGATAGATAGATAAGATAGATAAGATAGATAAGATAGATAAGATAGATAAGATAGATAAGATAGATAAGATAGATAAGATAGATAGATAAGATAGATAGATAAGATAGATAGATAAGATAGATAGATAAGATAGATAGATAAGATAGATAGATAGATAGATAGATAGATAGATAGATAAGATAGATAAGATAGATAAGATAGATAAGATAGATAGATAAGATAGATAGATAAGATAGATAAGATAGATAAGATAGATAAGATAGATAAGATAGATAAGATAGATAAGATAGATAAGATAGATAAGATAGATAGATAAGATAGATAGATAAGATAGATAGATAAGATAGATAGATAAGATAGATAGATAAGATAGATAGATAGATAGATAGATAGATAGATAGATAGATAAGATAGATAAGATAGATAAGATAGATAAGATAGATAAGATAGATAGATAAGATAGATAGATAAGATAGATAAGATAGATAAGATAGATAAGATA